CTCTTTCCCAACCTCAACCTCAACCTCAACTCAACTCTACCATTCTCACTTTACTATGCTTATTTACACCCACGTCACTAATTCACAATTTGCAAAATTACTTATATTATATACTAATTTCACATCCTATCGTGTTTTAAAATTCGTTCAAAAGTTATAAAATCACGTTTCACATGTAAAAAATTATTCGTGTTTAAATTTTTGCTCCAACAGTCGTTGAATTCAACTCACCGGAAAACATTTTTTTTTAATTGAAAGCATTTTGATTGTGTGAGAAATGGTATTAAAACAAACTATAACTATTATTTACATCGATCATTTCAAATATTTAGTTGTTTAAGATTAATTTACAAGAATTACAAAATATTTAATAGATATAAATTTGAAGAAAAAAAATATTATTTAATACCGTATTATCTTAATTTCAATATCTTGATTTTGTTAGAAATAGATGAACATCAATTTGCTTGGGAGAAAAATCGATGAACGTCAATTGTTTTTGAAAAAATTTGAGAGATGAAGTAAGTATTACGTGAAAAGATGAATCTTATAATTTATTTTATTTTTATAAAAATAAATAAATTAGAACAAAACACAATCTTAGATAAAGTCAATGTTAATCATTAACTTTTTTGAGAATCTTTGATGGGATTATGAATGTAAAACTAAACATACTAATATATATTTATATTTATTTCTCTTCCATTTTTTTTTTATATCTTTAAGGTGTAAACTAACGTATAAGTGTTCATCCATAATTTTACTTAAAATATCGAAGAATATCAAACATGCATTTCTATTTATTATCTAAAAGGAAATCGTGCAAGTTTATTGACGTACAAATATTAATATATGTAATAAAGTAAGTTTTATTTTGAATAGTATGCTATTAAAGATTTACATATAACTAGTTTTATATTCCAGCACAGGAGCAACAAGTAGCAATTAGAACAGTTAGAAAATTCCACGCAGTAGCCACATCATCATTTGTCTCGTCCAAATCATTCTCTCACGACATCAAATGGTTTTGTTTAGCTACGGTGATAGAATTAAATATATTAACAAATACTTAATTTATATATTTAGATTAAAATGCTTTTTTATTCAAATGTAACATTAATATTTCATTTAAGCTAATCTTATTTTCTCAACTAGATATGAGAGTATTATTTTAAAAAAAATTAAAAATATTGGAATCTTAGGGCTATTTTTGATCGAAGTTGATAATTACACCGATGAATAACTCTTCACGGTTTTGATTATTTGGAAAAGGATGACTAGTTATTCTTTTTTAAAAAAATAGCCGATCAATAAATTGTTAATCATACATTAATCATCTTAGTTACCAATTAAATGAGTTAATCTAAACAGACTGAAAACAAATTAAAGTACAAACAAGTTGCAATTAGCTCGTTAGAACGCTCAATAAAGAAAAGAATCTTTATGCCACATACCATTATCCTTTACCAAATCGTTCCATTGACATTTAACATTTTTATACCCCATCAAATCGATGAATGTTTTGTTTAAGCTTCAATTCGAGTTCAGCTAGCTAGATTACAAGTTTGTGTTTGTTATATATGTATTAAAAATTTAAAATGATAAACAATTATTCGATATAATCCTGTTTCTTCTGCTTCAGCCGTCAACTTAATATTGACGTAAGTTGGACATTCAGAAACGCCATAAAGATTACTTCAGTTGGGATTTATTTTAAAACTATGTTAAGTTTTTTTGTGGTGGTGGGCAAGTAGACATAATATTAAGTAGTTCAAATGCAGAGATAAACAAGATTAATATTGTTTTAAACATCAACTTGAGGGAGTTTCTCCCGAGGGAGCACAACCAAAACCTTGCTGATTTTCATTTAAATGCAATCAAACAGAGAAATTCAAAGTAAAAGATGAGTGAGTTCCACGTAATTAGCGGGAAACGAGACTTGATTATGATTAGAAAATATTCATATCACGGTTATCCACTTTGAGAAATCATGCCAAAGCAACCAACTTGGTTTGCTTTCATACCATTAATAACGTGCGCAAATATATGTACAATAATTAATTAGGTCTTAGTTAATTAAGAAGCCAAAGCAATACATTTTTTTTATTCTGCCTGTGGCATAATCGAATATAAGTCTTTATAAATTTATTCCAATTCTCCACCACCAAGTAATAATACATTTTTTAATATACTTTTTTTTAAGACACTCTTTATTATTATTATTATCGTTTAAAATTTATTCAAAACTATACAATTACAAATGGAATACAACACTAACAAACAATTATGTTCATATAGAAAATTGATATATGTTATGAATATAAAAAAAAAAAAATTGAAGATTTTATTTTTTATTAGATAAACATTATATCAGTAATGAAAATAATTTTATTATTTTTCACTTGTTAGTTGTTACATAAATATTTAACTCAGCTAGTTATATTATAGATGGGGATTCTAATTTTTACTTACATTCATGAAATAAATAAATAAATCCTTAATACACAACTTGGTAATGGGTAATGGGAATATGAAACACGTGGGATTATATATACAACTTTCACTACTAGAATTTATTTTATTACATGCGACTTTTCCTGCGAATTTTTCATAAAAATTTGCAGGAAACGTTGTTCCTGCAAATTTTCCTGCGAAATTTTATCTGCAGGTAATACCTTCGTGGATAATATTTTTTTGCGAATTTTAAAATTCGCAGGGAATTTTCCTGCAAAATTTCTTGCGAAAAAAATTCGCAGGAAAGTTTCCTGCAAAAAAAAAATTCGCAGGAAAGTTTCCTGTGAATTTTTTCGCAAGAAATTTTGCAGGAATATTTTTTACGAAAAAAATTTAAAAAATTACTATAAATTCTATCTATAATTTTTCAACTTTCAAATGCTCACAATGAATTCATCTGAAACATTTGTTTCCATGCTTTCAACATGTGATACATAATCTTTTAAATTCTAAAATTGTAGATTATAAGCCTAACACTCAACCATATAAATCAACTTGTTAGGTAAGTGTTGCCCCAACTTATATACTCTTTAATTACTTTATTTTCAATCGATGTGGGACTTGAAGTTTTTTTAAAATATTAAACTTATAAATTTAAATATATATATTTTTTATTTTTCTTGCTGATTAAAATTTGCAGGAAAATCCGCAAGAAAAGTTACCTGCAAAATTTTTCTACCATTTAGTAAACATTACTTGCGAATTTATTTTTGCAAGAAAATCTACAAGAAACAAAATAAAATTCTTACAATATTTTCTGCAAATTTTTACCATGGAAAAAAATTTCTATGATTATTGTAGCAAAATTTGTAAGAAATATCTGTAAATTATTTTTCACAAATAAATTCGCAAAAAATTTCTGCGAATATTTTCTTGCAGGAAAATTCGCAAAAAAATTATGCGAATATTTTTTTGCAAGAAAATTCGCAAAAAATTTCTACGAATATTTTTTTCAGGAAAATTTGCAAGAAAATGACACTTTTCTAGTAGTGTTTTGAGAAATATTATTTTTTAAAATAAATTTATTTAGTACATAAAAAACATATCATAATAATGTAGAAAAATGTTAGAACAAGGAGTAATATATATGATAAGTGCTAAAAATGTTATAATATATATGATATTTTGTTAAGTGCACATAAAAAATATTTATAATACTGTAGAAAATATTAGAACTTGATGCAAAAATAAAAGACATGTAAGAGATAGAGACAACATGATATTAACCAATATAGGTGAACATATACATCAAATTTGAACAGGTTCAAGTGGAGAAAGTCCAAATTAATAGAAATGAAGTGGTGAAAAATAAAATTTTCTACTATCCTCTCATATTTCAAATTGGACTAGGTTTGAATCGATCTAGATTCAAATGAAGTTGGTGTTATTTCGAGTTTTACATTTCATATGCTTTTATCAACCTAAAAGATAATGCTCTTATAATTTTTAAGAAGATTAATGTCAATAATAAATCACAATGGTTGATCATTACATGATTATCTAAAGTCTTCATAGTTGTACCATGTAATGGTCCTGAATAGTAGTGTACAATCATTTTAGCATTTTACAATGTTATAGATACCATAGAAATATGACTATATGAGTAACAAAATAGGTCATTTGATTTTATTTTAATTCATTATTTTACTAACTTGTCAAGATAAATTAAAACAAATTAATTCACTTATGTATAATGATATTAAACTGAATATCTTTGTCACACAATTTACAATTTTGTTGTTCTTTATTTCAATATTGCATTTTTAAAGTTGACCATTAGAATTTATAATTGTTTTTCTACTTTCACCTCAATAACAATATTTGTAACCATTGCTAATTGTTATTACCACCAAATAATATCTTACTACTAATTCACATGGAAATTGTAACCATGTGCCACCGCCTCCACTACCATATGAAACAAGCATTTTTTTTTATCTTTCAATTTTTGCGACACAAATTAAAATTGTTAATCATTTCCTTACCTTCACATAAACAAACACCATTGTTATTGTGACTAGCTTTCTACCAATAGAGTACACTATCATTGTCACCAATACTTTCTATCTACCATTGTATTCCGAACCATCACTGCTTTATTAGCACTCCCATCCCCACCATTAACTTTTGTTGCCATCACTAATAAGATAAATGATGAAAATATATTTTAAGAAAATTGAAGTGATAAAGCAAAGGTTTGTTGAGCTCTTCAGTAACATGCCAAACAATAACACCCTGAACGAAACAGAGCATCCTCTGATAAGGTCAACGCCGCCACAACCCTCTCTCTTCCAACGAACATGTTCCGAATCCAAGAAACTCTGCCACATCGCCGCACCCTCCATCTTCACCCGCCTCGCCATGTTCTCCATCACCGTCGTCACCCAATCGTTCGCCGGCCACCTCGGAGACCTCGACCTCGCCGCCATCTCCATCGCCTGCACCGTCCTCATCTCGATCACATTCGGTTTCACGGTAATTCCACCACTCACCACTTCTCCCTCACTATTTTCTACTCTCACATTGGCTTATTCCTTCTCTAGCTGGGAATGGCGAGCGCGCTCGAAACCCTCTGCGGCCAAGCCTACGGCGCCGGACACCACCGCATGCTGGGCGTTTACTTGCAACGCTCCTGGCTCGTCCTCTTCCTCTCGTCGATCCTCATGCTGCCGATTTTCGTGTTCGCCGCGCCGCTGCTGAAGCTGGTGGGTCAGCCCGTCGCGGTGGCGGAGCAGGCGGGGCTGGTGGCGGTTTGGCTGATCCCGTTTCACCTCAGCTTCCCGTTTCAGTTCACGCTGCAGCGGTTCTTGCAGTGCCAGTTGAAGACCGCAATCGTTGCTTGGGTTTCGGGGGTGGCCCTTGCGATCCACGTGTTAGTGAGTTGGGTTTTTGTTTATAGAATGAGGATTGGGATCGTTGGCACTGCCCTTACCATTGGTTTCTCGTGGTGGATCTCGGTTTTGGGGCTGCTCGGGTATACCCTGTTTGGTGGGTGCCCCGATTCGTGGAGTGGCTTTTCTTCTGAAGCTTTCGTTGGCCTTTGGGATTTTTTCAAACTCGCTTTGGCTTCTGGGCTCATGCTTGCGTTAGTGTTTCTTAATTTCTTTCTATCTCCAAATTAGTTATAATAATTGTCGGCAGGTCTCAGCATCTTGTGCCTCAATTCTTGGAGTGAAAGCTTATATATAGTCTATAACCTATTTTGATAAATTGCCTATTCTGGTAGATACACGTGGAGGGAAGCAACTTTACTTTATGTCAATTCACTTTGACTTTAAAGTGAAATCTAATCGTTACAGTTAGGATAAGCTTTGGATAAGGAATTGTAGGAGAATAAGTAACAATGAGATGTGTCTATATTGTCTATGTACCGTGGTGGTCTCTTATTGGCCGACTAGATTGGCCGATCAGAGGCAGATCAGTAAAATGTTGATTACACAAGAGGGACCCAAATATGGGGAGATTAACTGGCTCACTCGAACAATCAATAAGATCCCACGATCTGTGGGAACGGTAATAAATACCGGGAGTTACGAGTCCATAATGGGGCGTGATTTATGGGATCATAAGTGCGATTCATGTCTATAACGCTACACCGTTATATATAGCAATGATTAGGTCTAAGGCGGCAGGTTACTCTCATCGAATGTTCTAGGTCAAGACTGCTACCAAGTTCTTTTAGCTCGGTATCGCTAAGGGCTCTTCGGCGGCGGTCTCCAATATCGGAACATTTTGGCGCCCACCGTGGGGCAGGTAAAACTGCATCCCATACCTTGGTTGCCTTGTGTGATCGGAAGGTCACGATGCATAGGTTACTAAGGAGCATGTTACTCTTGGAGCTACTCAACGTCTTCGTGAAAATGGTCTGCTTACTGCTGATGCAATCAACAAAGCTGATGAAGAAATCATCAAAAAGTTGATTTATCCTGTATGTTCTTTGCCAAAGAGTGTATGGTGGCTGCTGAAAACCATTTTCTCATGCGATTCAAATAATCTGGATTTGATGGCAAATGAGTGATCCAATATTTTCTTAGTTTACGTGTTGGATTTTATACAAGAAAAGCCAGTTACTTGAAGAAAATTGCTAATATTTGTCTCGTGAAGTATGATGGAGACATACCTAGCTCAATTGAGGAACTACTCTTACTTCCAGGCGTAGGTCCTAAGGGATATGTGTGGATACCCATGTCCACCGCATTTGCAATCGCCTTGGATGAGTTTCGAGATCAGGCTCAAAACAGGTTATATAAGTTTGGTGGCATCACATATTATGTTTCTTCAGTGACTTTCGGAAATTGACATTATATTCAAAAATATATATTTATGATTACATTTTTTTTTTACTAATATTACAACCCACTACTAGTTTAGTTTCTTTTACTGGAATTGGATCCCAAGTCCAAGTGTCTAGTCAACTGTCAAGCATTATTGGTATTTGCTACATGATTCATTGTCCCCGAACATCTAACCATCTAGGTGCTGATACAAACAAGACAATTGTTACTACGATGGTTGCAATAAGCTTTCATCATATTTGCTGGTCAGATAAAAAAATTGCAAATTAATTACTAAGGCTGTCAATGCATATATCTTGTCGAATAATATTTATGTAAGAACATGGTAATGTCGTCATCAGATCATATCATTTCATTCACTTGTTTACTTTGATATCTGAAAGCAGCTGTACTTATGAGTTGGTGCCAATCAGCAATGAGAAATTTACTCTTTGATGAACTTGATTCCATTTCTCTTCCATTTTGTTTCTAAATGTCACAAATTGGAAGTTATTAATCCTCTTCTCTTTGCTAGAAAACATTGACATCAGACGAAACAAGACAAGCGCTGCAACGGTTGCTTCCGAAGGAAGAATGGGTTCCAATAAACCCTCTTTTGGTAGAATTTAGAAGACCCAAACCTTGGTGTGAAGAGCACTTTAAGGTCGACACTTGAATGACTCGAACCTTAGTGTGAAGAGCACTTTAAGGTCGGCATTTCGACGAACAATACCTTGGTGTGAAGAACACCTTAAGATCGACACTTGAATAACCCGAACCTTGGTGTGAAGAGCACTTTAAGGTCGGCATTTCGATGAACAACACCTTGGCGTGAAGAGCGCTTTAAGGTCGGCATTCTCAACAATCTATACCTTGGCGTGAAGAGCGCTTTAAGGTCGGCATTTTTACGATCTATACCTTGGCGGGAAGAGCGCTTTAAGGTCGGAATTTTAACGATCTATACCTTGGCGTGAAGAGCGCTTTAAGGTCGGAAATTTTACAATCTATACCTTGGCATGAAGAGCGCTTTAAGGTCGGAATTTTTACGATCTATACCTTGGCGTGAATAGCGCTTTAAGGTTCAAATTTTTACGATCTACACCTTGGCGTGAAGAGCGCTTTAGGGTCAGAATTTTAACGATCTACACCTTGGCGTGAAGAGCGCCTTAAGGTCGGACTTTTTACGATCAAGACCATGGTGTGAAGAGCACTTTAAGGTCGACATTTTGTCGATCCGAACCTTAGTGTGAAGAGCACTTTAAGGTCGGAATTTAGAAGATCAATACCTTGGTGCAACGAGCACTTAAGGTCGGCATTTTGATGATCCAAACCTTGGTGTGAAGAGCACTTTAAGGTCAGAATTTAGACGACCCAAAACCTTAGTGTGAATAGCACTTTAAGGTCGGAAAAGGTCAACAAAGCGCCTATCTGACATGCTCTTTGCACCTTAGTGCTCGAGCGTGGAGGGCTATGTACCGTGGTGGTCTCCCATTGGCTGACCATATTGGCCGATCCAAGGCACGTCAGTAAAATACCGATCTAACATGCTCTTCGCACCTTAGTGCTCGAGCATGGAGGGCTATGTACCGTGGTGGTCTCCCATTGGCCGACCATATTGGCCGATCCAAGGCACGTCAGTAAAATACCGATCTAACATGCTCTTCGCACCTTAGTGCTCGAGCATGGAGGGCTATGTACCGTGGTGGTCTCCCATTGGCCGACCATATTGGCCGATCCAAGGCACGTCAGTAAAATACCGATCTAACATGCTCTTCGCACCTTAGTGCTCGAGCATGGAGGGCTATGTACCGTGGTGGTCTCCCATTGGCCGACCATATTGGCCGATCCAAGGCACGTCAGTAAAATACCGATCTAACATGCTCTTCGCACCTTAGTACTCGAGCATGGAGGGCTATGTACCGTGGTGGTCTCCCATTGGCCGACCAGGGGCAGGTCGGTAAAATGCCGATCACACAAGAGGGACCCAAATATGGGGAGATTAACTGGCTCACTCGGACAATCAATAAGATCCCACGATCCGTGGGAACGGTAATAAATACCGGGAGTTACGAGTCCATAATGGGGCGTGATTTATGGGATCATAAGTGCGATTCATGTCTATAACGCTACACCGTTATATATAGCAATGATTAGGTCTAAGGCGGCAGGTTACTCTCATCGAATGTTCTAGGTCAAGACTGCTACCAAGTTCTTTTAGCTCGGTATCGCTAAGGGCTCTTCAGCGGCGGTCTCCAATATCGGAACAGTCTATATTCTATTTATGTATCGTACCCTCCTCCTAGCCTTTTGCTGAGATGGGCAGGCCGAGATTAAAGTATGCTGTGTTACGCGTTGATGAATAGCTCTTGTAAAGGATGTATTGATTCTCTCCCATTTAGTTGAACCGGAGGAAGTTAAATTTAATTTATGCAATTCCACTTTTATATCTAAAAGCTAAGTTGCATAAGTTAAACTTATGAAAAGAAGCTTGATTCAATTTGCCTTTTTATTCTCCTGTAGGTGCTTATTGAGAAGTTTGTGAGCTTTCTTACAACTAGGTTCTTTGCTTTGAGGTTGATGTGATTCTTAGAATGTTGTTAATGTGCATTGCAGGTTAGAGAATTTCTATTACAGACTGTTGCTTATAGTGTCTGGGTATATGCGTAACACTGAGATTGCAATTGATGCTCTTTCTGTTTGGTAAATTTGTGCTTTCATAGTTTTTTCTTTCTAATTTAGTCGTATCTTGGTTTATTGGATTTTTGCTGAATTAAAGTCTTACTTGGCATGGCAGTGTGACGATTTATGGTTGGGAATCCATGATACCGCTTGCATTTTTGGGTGCAACCGGGTATGTCATTGTTGTAAGTCTCCCTTTCTTATTCTCCCAAAATGTGGTGCATTGTGGAGTCTTGTTAAGGAGAAAAGTTTAACTAAATTGAAAAATCAGTTAGCTCGTGTACGGTGAGGTTGAGTATTCCGTGGTGTACTACTCAAACGGAATCAATATTCAGAAGCAGAACCCTGTGAATCCAATCAAAACCACTCTGGTGTGAGGTTCGGACAAGACAGTAGACTGATAATAGTTTGAACTTTGATTTGCGTTATGAGTGTTACCCGTTTCCTTAGTGAAAATGCAGTTGGAGATAATTGTATATTTCAGTAATGCTGTGAGGTTCGGAACGAGTTTTGTGCTAGTTGAATCATTGGAAGCGGTTGTTTATATTGTGTCTTGTTCTGCCGTTGCTCTTTACTTAGTTGCTGACATGATTTTGTTAAATGAAGGAGACTGCTGTCAAAAATTAATGCGGTGATTTAGGAGATTTTGATTTATCTTTTACTTTTGATGTGAGTTTTATAGATTTGAATTGTTTTCTTTCTCCTAAATTTTATGCAAGACATAGCATATTTTGATGATTAATTCTGCTTGCTGTAAGTATGTTATTAAGTCTCCAAGTTGTTAGAATTTCACCAAAACATTCAGTCAGTTTGTCAACTCTCGAGTTTGTCATTTGCAGTAGTCTTGCGACAACACTCGCGTTAGATGAACTCTTGGGAGATTATCCTCATATCAACTTACACCTTTTGCTGAAAAACTGAAGCATTTCCATGTTTGAGAAGTTACAAAAGTCACTTGGTTTAGCCTCTAGAAAAGTAAGGAACCTGATACTGAAGAATCACAGATTGACATTCCTGCCTCAAGTTTTGTAATTTAATTCAGAATATTTTACAAGTGTCCGACGAATGCATAAGCTTCCAAAAGTGTACAAGGTTCTTCAGAGTTACTTTTCAACAAAAAGTCCATAAGTATCTTTGAAAGTTTTCAAGATTTTATTTTCCAATATTTGAATAGAAATGTTCCTTCTTTCCTTTAGTTTAAATGGAACTTCGAAAAAATCTACTGGTTTATTGGAGACATTGGTCAAGGTAAAGGGAAAATATGGAAGTATATGTTTTTATTATCTGATACATCGACTAGTCTTGGACCTATCAGTAGAGCTTGCATGATGAGACCTGTAGATACATGTAAAGTGTAGGTTCTTAACAGCCAAAGTGTGTCTGCAAGTCAGCGAATAATCTCAAACATGATTCCTTCATTATTACATTTAAGCAAATAATCATACAAGTCAAAAAATTCATTTGTTTGATGTAAAAAAAGAAATCTGCCTCATTACAAAACCAACTAATTTTTCCTGCCTTTTAATCATCTAACATTCTTGAACTCAGGGTGCGTGTAGCAAACGAGCTTGGCGCAGGCAATGCAGAAGGTGCAAAATTTGCAACTGTGGTTTCTGTGGTAATTACTGTACTGGTGGGATTTGTATTTTGGTTGATTATCCTCTTCTTCAACAAGAATCTTGCCTTGATCTTTACATCGAGCTCGTCTGTTATCCAAATGGTCAATGAACTGTCAGTGTTGTTAGCTTTTACTATTCTTCTTAATTGCATTCAACCAGTTCTTTCAGGTGAGTATCTAATACACTTTATAAGCACTCAACTCAAATTACAATTTCTGACATTGTCCTTAGTGCTGGTATCTGTTCTTCAGGGGTGGCAGTTGGATCTGGTCGTCAAGCAATAGTGGCTTATATAAACATTGGCAGTTACTACATGGTTGGAATACCTCTTGGGGTTCTCCTAGGCTGGTTGCTGCCTTCGGCTATTGTTGTAAGTGTGCCTAACCTATACTGTTTCATAATATGCCAATTATGGATCCAGATAATGTAAATTTGGCTAAACTTGCCACGGAAATATGAACTATTCAGAGTGCTTAATTGTGAAGGCAACACTTTATGCTGTGCACCTTTTGTTCTCTATGGTTAAAATTAGTTTTCGACCGTGATGTTTATTTATTCTACTCGCAGGGTATGTGGACCGGAATGATGAGTGGAACGGTGTTTCAAACATTGATCTTGGCTATTGTTACCATGAGATATGATTGGCAAAAAGAGGTATGCGTGGCGTTTTGGCACGGAATGGAACAGTTTTGTTTTATTTTCTTTTTTTGATTTCTCACCATGATTAAATTACACGAGTCACTCTGTTTCTTTATAACATGTCCATTAAATAGTATCTTTAAAGTGAACTACGCTGTTATTAGTGATTGCTGAAACTTGTTTAAGCCATGTGGTTACTTGTCGTTCGCAGGTACGGAAAGCCCAAATTCTTATTAAAGAGGAGGCATCATCCAACCAATAACAAAGGTGAAATTCGTATTTATATAATGACCGTGAAAAATATTGCTTTGCTATTTAAGGTAATTTTATTCTTTGTCTCTTAAAAAAAGACCATCTCAATCACAGAATCGTGGTGCTTTACCATTAAATTTAAGATCCCCCGAACCATGTATTTTTAATGGATGTATATTTCACTCAGAGCAGAAACTTGGTGCAACTCACAGAAGTTGTTTGAAGTTTTTTGTGAGTCCTATTTTTTCTTGCTCCAATTTTATGAGTCCTATTTTTTTTTTTGAGCGGATTTTATGAGTCCTATTAAGACACGTTATTTCTCATTATTTTGTGCAATACAAATTAAACTCTAGTGGTGTAACTCTAAATAGTCATTAAATGAATTCTTCAAGTTATCTGCCATCTACTTTAATTTTTGTTTACGTTATAGTTTTTCTTATTTGTTGGTGTTGAACGAGAACCGTACAATTTTACTCGCTTGTTCTAACAAGCAACGGGAAGTTGTAGAAAGAAACATCCTTAAATAAAATTGTTCGTCTACTCGATTGGTGTACTACGGGATGGATTTGAAAGAAGAAATTTCAGATGAGTGTTTCTTCCGTGAACCAATGTTATCACCATCAGTTTTCAATAATATCAAAAAAGTAGTCTTTTAAAAACATTTCATCTACAAGTATTGATAGTACTTTTGTGTATTATTTTGAATAAATGTTAAAATATTATCTTTCAATCCCTATGACAAGGTTATGATGGAAAATTTAAAGATTTGAAAAAGAGATCATACAAATCATTAACTATAAAGATGAAAACAAAAGTTATCAAACGATTAAGATTTGTTGGTGACCATTAGTAGTGATGAATAGTTAAGATTTATATTCCATAAATATTAGTTTGTACTAGTGGTGTTTACAAATCAATAGGATGTTTCAAGTTGAGATTTTAATTTTTAGATTTATTTGTAATCTCTTTACCCTCACTTGTTCTTTTTCAAACATAATTTTTTTACTTCTTAATCTTCATTTTTTCTTTAATTTTAATATTTTCGCTTCTTAATCTCAATTTTTCTCTAAATTCTTACTATATTGTATTTTATCAAAATCTTCCACTCTTTCTTTCTACTTTATTTCAAATTAAAAATTAATAGATTATTATTCCGGTGTTGGAGACCGCCGTCGAAGAACCCTTAGCGGTACCGTGCTAAAAGAACTTGACAACAATCTTGACCTAGAACATTCGATGAGAGTAACCCCCCTCTTCTTAGACCTAATCATTGCTATATATAATGGTGTAGCGTTACCAACATGAATCTCACGCTCCTCTTTATAATTTCATAAATCACGCTCTATTATGAACTTGTAACTCTCAGTGTTTATGGTCGTTATCTTGCTCATCCCACAGATCATGAGATCTTATTGATTGTCTGAGCGAGCAAGCGAATTCCCCCATATCTGGATCCCTATACGTATAATTCCAAGCCTTGTCGATATACAACATTAGTCATTTATCCAAGAGACATCTTGGTCAGTGGGCTCGGCATTTTACCGATGTGCCTCGAGTCGACCGACGGGAGACCGCCTCGGTACAAAGCCCTCTCAGCTTGAGCGCTGTGGAACGGTGTATCGAGTTGGCATATTGTCGATGTGCCTTGGATCAGGCAATAGGAGACCATCATGTTACAATTACTAATTTAAATACAAAGAATCCACAAAATTTTGGAAGACTCTAAGTTTTAATTAAAAAATTATTATATTCAATTCTCATAATCAGATTTCACAAAAAATAAGCACATAAATTATTGTCTCACCAATGATTGATGAAGCATTAAACTAACCCTCTACAAAAGGTTATTTATCGGAATAAATTAATAATTAAGATAAGAAATATAAAAACGAGAGACATTTCAGGATTTTTGTTTAATTTTTTAAATTTATGAAAATAAGTAAATAACAATCACGGAATTAAATAACAGAGTTCCTGTTTATGCCTAAAATTAGTGGTCATCAGTTTTTAGATGCCGATGACAACCATATGAAGGCACAATATAATCCGTTACTTCCCATTATCTAGAGTTTGAAATAACGCAAACGACAAAAAAAAGTAAGCAAGGAAGGACCTACTTTTAATTAGACCGTGTTTTACATAATCTGTCACTCTTCTGTTCTATGGCTTTTCTGGTTGTCTTTTTTCTTTATTTTGTCACCCTCTACGACAATGTGCTTCACAAATTACTTCTCTAATTTTCTCTGCATGAATTAAGAGATTAACACTTTTTAATTTTCATGCTTAACTAACATGAAATAGGAAAGAAATGTGTCCGTCCATAAAATTCAATTGATCAAAGCATTTTTTTAATCGATTAAATGCTCTTCTTTTACGTATAATTGTTTTTTTTTTAATGAGCCACGAAACCACACTTTTAAAAAAGTGAGTTCAATTGATATTACAATCGATTAACTTTCTTAGATTTAATTAATTAAAATTAAATTAAATTAACTTTTTTATTTTTATTTATTTATTTCTTAATTATTTATTTATTTTCTCTTCTTTATTTTTATATACTTTATTTATAAAAGAAAAGCTTTATTTTTACTTATTTTTTTTATCATACTAAACATACATAATATTATTTCTCTTCTTTTTCTTTTTTTTTTCCTCTTAAACCAAACAACAAAAATTTAATTATATTTTTTACCTATTTTTTCCCACTCTATTTCTTTTCTTTAATTTTTACCAAATACACCCTTAGGTTTTCCGACTTTATGGTCCCCTAACAAAAAATATGAATAAGTTAAAAATATTTTCTCAATTTCACAAAAACCAATAATATACAGAATATAAAATGCAAGCAGTAACAAGTCACAAATAAGTTGTTAAATTTTTTAATAATATAAGAAATGGTATTTTCCACTGATTCACCGATATACCAACCACTTCATAATATGCTTCACCCAGCAAACTCTTATCAACTGGTCTCACATTTTTTTATTTTAATTTAAGGTATTCCTTAGTTGAAGATCAAAAACAAATATTTAGAAGTGCTGAAATTTATTTAAAGAGTTAATTTCCACCAATAAATTAGGTCACATTTTGTTGCTTTATTTTGTAAGAAATAATTGTAATATGATTTATATAATGGAGTGAAACTTTATATTTTATAATTGTGTATTTTTATTTTTTATTTTTATTTTTTTGTTAGGGGCTAACTTTTATACATAGTAGAAAGGGCACCAAAATGTTTGAGAGGGCCCCAGTGTAAACGGATTGAGAAGAGGCATCAATCATCTATAGTTCTCATAAAGGGATGTAGATGGGACAAGATTAAGAAACCTTTGCTATTTCTGTTTTTTCTTTTGTTTGTTTTCCTTGATGGTGTTATTAGCTGCTAGCCAGCTTCTAGTGGTGTGTGGTGCCATTTAATTCAGCTTTTATCCTAAAAGTTATCTAAACTAAATAAATAAATTATGTATGCTTCTGATTGATTGGATTTAAATGTATTATAAGATTTGAATTAAATCAATTTTTTTAGGATCAGTTTGATTCAACCTTTATGATTTATAAAAAAAATGTTATTTAAAAATTAGATAAAAATATGTAGTGTTATACTATTTGTTTAAAATTTATAAATAAAAACAAAATTAAAAATTATTTTTTTTAACGCAAATTCTTATCTTATTATTATAGTGAAAATATTTATTTAATATCATTTTAATTGTTATATCATTTTTTCACATATATATAATTTGTTACTTAAAATAAAATTATTTTTTTACGATATAAATGATTCATAATTTTTATTATAAAATTCAGTTTAATAATTTATAATTTTATAAAATATCTTTTAAATTAAATATATTATAAAGTAGATTACAAAGAAAAAACACTTTGTAATATATGATATTTTTATAAAATATTTTTTATGTTATGTGTCAACATTATACTTACATTCTACATTTTAAAAAAATATATTTGCAGTGTAGTTTAATTTAAATTAATATTATATTTTTAAATCGTAAATCGAACTAAATTACATAGTTTAGAAGAAAAAAAAGATTAAATAAAAGTTGTTTAAGCGGCTTTTTTCCCCAATAAAGAAAAAAAATTAAAAATACAAAAAATAAAATTAAAAAAAATAACATTTTACGGTAATAGGCCATTTTGGCCACGTGGAATTGGACACAGTAAGCGCAGGGGTAGAAGGGCTTTTTGACCCTACTAAATTAAAAAAATTTAAAAATATACGAAATAAATTAAAAAAAAAACAATTTACTGAAATAGGTGATTTGGACACCTAAGCATACACGTGGCACTGAAAACACATGGGGGGTGGGGCGTTTTTTAGAAAAAGCCTCCCCCAGGCGCCTTTAGTTGCTGATGTGGCCAATAGAGCATCTGGGCAAGAAAGAGCAGGGGGCAGACGTTTTTTAGAAAGAGCCTCCCCCCCAACTGGTCAAGAAAGAGCAGGGGGCAGACATTTTTTTAGAAAGAGCCTCCCCCCTGGGCGCCTTCTATTTGTGGCAAGTTTGAAAAGAAAGAGTCTGTGGGATAGGCGCCATCTGCACCTCATTACACATTCCAAGTTTGTAAAAAAATAGCAGTAAAAAAAGAGCAGGGGGGAGGCGTTTTCAAGAAAACACCTCCCCCAAATGCCAGCTGTGTACGTGCTCATTCGTTGCAATGCGCCTCTCCCCAGGCACTATCAAATTCAAAGTAGTCAAATGTAGAACGTGTTATTGGTCCAGCTGATATTTTATTTGGTGGTTCAGGATAGTGTGAAAGTAAGTAATATATTTTATTTGTTGTAATTTTAAATTTTAATTTTTATAATATATTGTATGTTTGTATCATTGTTGATTTTGTAAAATAGAGTGGTGTAATAATTTTAATTTTTTTTTAAATAGGAAGTTCAATACGTAAGTTATAAACGTGGAACGGGCCGTTCTGAAAAAGCACGTATTCAGAACGGGCCGTTCCGGTTTGTAAAGAAAGGAGGGTTATGTACAATAAGAACGGGCGTTCTGAAAGCAGAATGGGTCGTTCTTATTGTACTGAAGAATTGTTAATTTTTGCTCTGGAACGGCCCGTTCTCCTTTTAGAACAGGCTGTTCCGGAACAAAAATTAACCTCTTATGAGCTCTCTGAGAACGGGCCGTTCTAAAATCAGAACGACCCGTTCTGGATTCATAGATAAGACACCTTTGTTGCAATGAGAACGCACCGTTCTGAAATTAGAACGGGCCGTTCCAGTGCCCCAATTAAATTTTTTTGAATTGAAAAAGTTATATAATTTGATTTTTATAATTGAATATATTATTTATTGCAATGTTAAAAATTATGATATTATACTGAATATTTTAAATTTTAGAATTTGAGACAATATTAATGGAATATTTATTTT